AGAAATATTGGGATTTCCAATAACCAAAGCTAAAAGATGAAAAGGTTTGGTAACACCTTACCCGGTTCAACGCATGTTGTGCTTTATTGAACATGCATAGGGAATCCACCTCATTCAGGTTTTCTTGGTTTTCTTTGGTTAGCAAGCACCGGAGGTAACTAGCTACCTCAACGGGGGAAGAAAGAACCCGAGCATCCTCCAAAATGGTGATGATAATTGACCACTTCCGACTAGGATCCTCACTCGGAGCGGGGAATTGGTTGACCAGTATCGGGCTTGAATTAAGCCCACCTACCCCCAAGGACGAACTTTTCCTCTGTACTTCTAAGTCACCTAATCCGATGGCATCCTCTATGACAGATGAGTCCAGGCCATCAAAAAAGCTTTGGAGAGGATCGCCCACTCCATGGACCCCCTCCTTCGATCGCGCCTTCATCACTTGAACTTTATCGAGCATCGATTTCATGAACGAAGGCGATCCCGTTATGTCAATGACACCAGGCGGGGTAGAACCAACGTCTTAAAGGTTCTCGACCCTCACTGCTGCATCGACCTTTTGAACTTGAGATGGATTGGACTCCATTGTTTCCCCCTCGGCTTCCACCTATTCCTCGGGCACAGATGGTTCATGGTACAGAAAAATATCGTCCTCCTCGAGCTCTTCCCTGAGCCAAAGAAGTGAGTCCGAGTCTAGCACTCGGGATCTGGTGCTCTCCTTTGGCTTACGTACCAGCCTTCTTCGCGTTTTCCTTTTTTCCGAGCTCGGGTAACTTCGAGTCCTCTTTCTTTTCTTCCACCAGTCCGCCTCGAAGTAGGAGACTCAACAGGCAAGTCCCACGCGACCAACTAAAGGCCTAAGCTCGACGTCCTTAGGCAAACCTGTGAAAGAAAGTAAAGGAAATAAGAACTTGATGTTAAAAGAAGAAGCCTGGCACAACCTTTTCAGGAAGGGAATCTTACCATGAGAACGGGCCTCCCAACGACCCTTCAAAAGTTTGCGCCACGTGTGCTCGGATTAGGGAATCTATGAAACGATACTTTCGACCCACTTCTTGAGTCAAGGGACAACATTGGGGACTCGAGTGACGGTTGCATCACCACGAGTACTGATAAGGAAAAGAGAAGTAAACATAAAATCAACTATTGAAGGGAAGTTCTACTTATGTGAGGTATTCCACCTCTCGGGGAATAAACCTCATTCAGCCAGAATCAAGTCAAAAGTCCTCACTCGGATAAAATAGCCTTACCAGCCTCGATCCCGGTCCTTATCGATACTTGAGAACGGGGCCTTGCTGGCCCGGTGTACCAGCTTTATCAGCCCCCCTCGAAACATTCGGGGACTATACAAATGGAGTAGATGATCCACAGTAAAATGGCATGAGTCGACTTTTTCCACAAAGAACCGTAAGAGGATCATGATCCTCCACATTGAAGGATGAATCTGACTGAGACATACCTCGTATCTCTTACAGAAATCTATGATGGCCGGGTCCACTAGTCCCAATGTAAAGGGATAAGTGTAAACTCTCAGATATCCCTTGACATGGATGGTAATGGCCTCCTCGGGGTCGGGGACTACTATATTTTTATTGGCCCAGTTGTAGTCTTTTCGGACCATAGAGAGTACCTCTTCCGTAATCGAGCAGATGTATCTAGAGACCTCATCACGCTGACCCTTTACATAGGAAGGCTTTTCAACTCTGAAGTTATCATTGACCGAGCATCCCCCAGGGATGAACATTTTCAGGGGAGGCTCGGGTACTGGTCTATCAACAGCCACTCCCGGAGTGATCTCTTCGACCTTAGTGGCCAGCCGTGAAGTAGAAGGAACTTCTTTTTGGGGAACGGTTTTGGAAGTCTTTGCCATTCTTTCAGAGAGTAAAAATGGAGGAAAATCTGGAAAAGATGAGGAAAGAAAGGAAGTTGAAGGATTGGACTTGTTGGCTTAAGAAAAAGATGTGCAATAGTTTTTGCAAAGAACCTTGAATAATGGGGGTAAAGCTGCTAAAGAATGCTGAAATCATAGGGATACGAGGGTAGAAGGTTTGATGTAAAGTAAAAATGAACAAATGAGATGGTATTTATAGGAACTCGACAACGTTTCACATTCAAGTATTGCCAACCGATGGCTTGCATGCATTTAATGCCATTATGATGTGACTGACGAGACATTTCAGATGTTTTGTCGTTTATGTCACCTCAATGTAGCAATAAAGGGCTCATGTCGTTTCTCATCATTTAAATCTCCGAGAAACGAGGGAACTCTCACTATCTGTATACGGGTAAAATTGGGTTTGTGATACACCCCGGTTCTCGATGTGATAAACCAAGCTCGATATATGATGGCAAAGGGCCGAAACTGAGGCAAAGTTCTCAACGAGTCGGAGTTCGGGGGCATAACGCCCATCCTCGAGAATATCAGGGTCATGGTTCAGGACCAATCCTAGCTTTGAATAACTTCGAATGATTTTGTTAGGTAATCAAGCACGACCAACAAAAGTCCGTGATATCTGTGACCGCCCGGGTATCACGGCATGTATCACTAGGGATTCGACAATGAGTTAATTAGAAGATTGTTACCTTTTATAAGAATTGTACCTAGATTGAGACTCTCCTACTATATAAAGCAGGGCTGATGATTCATAACACACGTTGTAATACGCATTCCAAGGTAGTAAATTGTTACTTTTCTCTGTCATTAGCTCTCATCTTGTTCATCAGTGCTGGTCACAGTGAGCCCGAATCGAGGGGGAAGATTCTACTAAGGCTGAAACTATCCTACACACATGGTTTGAATTTATTTTTATCTTTACTTGTTTAATCTAATCTAATTTACTGCTTTGTGTCAAATTAATCCGCGTATCCTTAAAACCACTCACAAATTTAATTGTTATCCGATTTTGAGGGTAAACACATACTATCAAGCAACAAATGTAAATGCTTCTCAACTACACAGAGAACAACCCCGAACACAATACGAATAAGTAAGATCATTGTAATTGGCAGGAAAGAGGAGTTTCTATTGAGAAAACATATATAGCCAAAAAGTAATACATGCTCAGCAAAGGAAACCGTTATAATCAAGGTAGTCACTACATTATTTCATAGTAATGCAAGAGAAGTCAATAAACATCTGAGGCAGTCACTCAGAGGCAGACCCATGTGTATGGTGAGGGGTCACTGGACCCCGTAAACTTTAGATGAAGTCCTATGTATATATATACCTTGAAAATGGTTAATTTAAAATAGTTGGTGCCCTGAACACTAAAAGACTTTAGGGAGCACTGGTTAAGCAAAATAATGTGCCTCTGTCACATAAAAATTCTGGGCCTGCCTCTGCAGTCACTAATACTGAGGTTAAAACTATCACCAATGATAAGCAACAAGAACACCATCAGAGGAAGAGGTGAAAGATTAGTTACTCCTTTTGATAGAAACTAGGAGTCCACCAAACAATATAAATAATCAAGTTCTCTATCTGTTCTCACAATAAATAAGCAAAAAATAAAAGACACACGATATTTACATGGAAAACTCTTTGTTCAAGGGATTAAAAATCACGACCTATCCCAGAAGGATTTCAACTCCACTAAACTGAGCAAACTTTAGATTATACCCTATTGCAATCTAGTAATTAAACTATTAATCCCTTACCCCTTACAATAACTCTATTGTAAGCCTTTTACAATAACCCTATTACAAAGTAACAAACCTTGACTAACTCTAGTCAAGAAACCAAACCAAACAATGGTTGAAATCTGTCCTACAAAGACACTTCTTGAAAGTAGTGTAAGATTACAAGTGAAACACAAAATAACAAAGAATCAACAAACTTAAGGACTTAAGATATCTTCAATATCGGGATCTGATCCTTGGGGTTGTAGCAGTTTTGTTCTTGAGAGAGCCTTGAAGGCTGTGGCAACTAGCACTTGAGAGAATATGATTTTTGAATTTGCAAGTGTTAGATTAAACCTTGTATCATATTCTATATATATGAGTGAACATATGAAAAGAGATAGGGTCTTTTAGTTTGGCCTTAGCAAGCTACAGTTGTGCTGCTACACTACTGCCAGTCAGTACTATGCAACACCTTTTACAACTGTAGAGTTGATTGTACGACGGCCAATGGAACTTATCACATCTGGTCCCTATCTGGTTCCTCGAGAACATTTGACCAGCACCAAAACATGAAGTAACATATCTTATTAAGGCCAAAGGAACTAATTATAATTGGTCCCTATCAGGTCCCTCGAGAACGTTTGACCAACATCAAAACATGAAGTAGTAACATACCATATCAAGGCCAAGGAACTGATCACAACTAGTCCTTATCTGGTTCCTCGAGTCTATTTGGCAAATCATCAAAACATAAAATAATATAATTTATCAATTTTCCCTTTTTGATGATGACAAACCCAAAATTGATATTCCCCGTGAGAATCAGATTCCCTCTATGAAGCAGACCTATCTTTCATGCCCAACACAACATATCAATTCAATTATGTTCCTTCCCCTATTGACACTTATGTAACTTCTCCTTTTGGTATCGTTGAAAAGAATAACAGAAAAGCACAATCAAGTTCAACAATATTAACTCATGCCACTTGGGCAACACAACATAAACAATAACAAGAACAACAAGTGAATATTATTGCACAAAATAGAGTGATTGTCCACAATAAAGTAATTATAACAAGACAACAGTTTCAATCAATACAGAATATGACAGTTTAAACAACTAAAGTACCAATGTCATCAAACATAGGGATCAAAAGAAGATAAAAGTTTGAGGGAATTTGAAAGAAGTTAAAGACTTGCGTCACTGGGCAGGAACAAAATTAAGTGGCTAAGACTTTGACGAGCTTGTCCATTCATTTATGGGTAATACAACACAAGGGCAAATTCAGTTGGAGGGAAGGGAACTATGCAGGATAGAAGTTGACAGACCCATGGTTTTCAAATGTAAACAATATTAAAGTTCAAATCATCTCTGGGAAAATATGGGCCTTCCATCTTTGGATATTGGGAATGACAAAAATTGGCTTATTAAATTGAGGGATATTTTCATTAATAATTGTAAATTACATATGAAGTGGACTACTCTATTCCCCTATTGCATATGGGAGCTATGGAAAAACAGGAACCATAATAACATCAATAACCTGGATAACTACCTTGATATAAGAAAGGTTATCCATGCAGCATGGGAATTCACCTTCTTCACTCAAAGAAATTCATTCGTGGAAAAAACTATCAATGTTGAGATTAGTTGGATTAAGCCTAATAAAGATGTGATTAAATTAAACTATGACGGTGCATTCTCCAGTAAGAGTAGAAGGGCAGGGCTTGGAGGCTACAACAAAGGAGATTGGATTGTAGGCTACCATAAATCAAGCCAGGCGATTTCCCCCATCCATGTAGAGCTGTTGGCCTTACTAGAAGGGCTAAAAATTGCTAGGGACATGAACTTCATCATGATAGAAATTGAAACTGATTGCACTAAGGTTATCAAACTAAATTACGAGAATAACTCTAATTATTCTAATATTGTTTGTGAATGCAGATGGCTAATGCACCAATTGAAGATCCCGCTACTGAAGCATAATTTTAGAGAAGGCAATATGGTGGCTCATCTACTAGCCAAGCAAGCTACCAAAAATGTATCAACGTCTAAGTATTTTTACCATGCCTGTCCACCCCGTTTTGTTGAGCATGAAGTGACCAAAGACAAGCATGGAGTTTGTAATGGTATTAGGAGTATGTCAAACAATGTTTGTAACTATTTGGCAACTATGGGTAACACTAGTGCCCTAAAAACATCTACTATGCCTATGTAATTTGCTTATATATATATATAAGCAAATTATGTTATGTTAAAAAAAAAACTTTTAAATAAGTAGTAGTTGTTTTTGGAAAACAAATACTACATGTTGGGTGTCTCCGAAAATCTTTTCGGGTTGTTTTCCAAAAAGAAGTTACGCTAGTTATTCGTTTTAAAAGGACTTTTTGGAAAAAGCTCTTTCACTCCAAATGCCTTAGTGGAATATAAAATATGTAGTGTGCTTCCTGAACAGAGGCATACACCATAGAAGGGCTCTTTTCCTATTGTTTCTAATTTGATGCCTCATTTACAAGATATTTGCACAACTGATGGAAAATTATTGAAAATAATACTTCCTCCGTTCCAATTTACGTGAACCTATTTTTTTTTGGTCCGTTCCAAAATGAATTACTCCTTTCTAAATTTGGAAATAATTTAGCTTAAATTTACAATTCTACCATTAATGGGAAGCTTTAATAACCACACAAATACTCTAGGGTCCTTTTTGACTTGTTTAAGACCACAAATTCCAAAAGCCTTTTTTTTCCTTTCTTAAATTCCGTATTCAATCAAACAGGTTCACATAAATTGAAACGGAGGGAGTAATAATAATAAAAGTTGAACAAGTTTATACCGGGAACGCCAGATCAAGCAAAGCAGTTGGAGTGCAGCCAAATTTGGTGAAGAGCAATCCTCCAGCATGTGACTGACTACAAGATAAAATGCACAAAAATACTTAGCCTTAGTGTCAAGCAATTAAAAGGATGAGTTGAACTATAGCAAAGTGTTATTGCATACTTTCTCTCTCCCCCACCTCCCCTCTCTCTCAGGAGAAGTAGAGAAAGAAACGTTTTGATTCCGTTTACCCTAAAATTTGGATAACAATTAAACTTATAGTGTGTTTTAAGGATACGCAATGTTACCTAATACCAATTGATAAACGTAAACATAAGTGATGAGAGTTGACAAAAATATAAAAAAAACCAATACTTGGACAGTGCCCTCGAGCTGATGAACCCTCGAGCTTAGTAAAATAAGAACAGTTAGAGAACAACAAGTTGATAAACAAGAGAAAGAGAAAAATATTGTATTGCCTTGATCTGTGTCAATGTAAGTCTTTTACAAAATGATTAGGGCCCTCTTTATATAGTAGAGGAGCCCTAGTTATGGTATAGTTCTAATTACGGAAGTAAATCCCATGATTAGCCTAAACAATCGCCCTTGATTTGATCTGTTCCGGAATTTCCGCAGTGATCTCCGACCGGTTACGGATATTCCGTCTTTCCGTTATTGCACTTCGCTCGAAGTCTATCATATTAGGTCTCGATTGCTGATTGACTCAATCTCGATGGGCACTTTAATTCTCGAAATCGATACCTTGTCTTCGTGTTCTAGCCTGATCTATTATGGGGCTTACCCTCGATGTTATTCCTTGGTCTCGATTTAATGTCAAAATCTTGCAAGCATGATTTTAACCGTATACAGATAGTCTCCTCATTTCTTGGAGTATAATGAGAAGAAACGAACTGAGACTCCGATTTTGTATCTCGACCAATTATGACGTCACCCTTGTGACGGAAGCGATGGAAGCGACTAAAGCGTCGCGTCTGCACAGTTCCAAAAATCATTAATGATCGTCAGTTGATGATCAACCACTAGTGTTTTTAAACCCTCATAGCAAATATTATAAATAGATAATCTTCATAATTTTCTCAAACTTTACTTCCAAAATTTCTCCTAATCTTCAAAAACTTTTCTACTCCATTCAAGCTTATCAATTTTGCAGGTTCTTTAAATCCCATTTGCCAATCTTTTCTTAAAACAACAAGTTCCATCTTCTACTTTATTTGAACTCATATAACAATGGCGAAAATATCAAAAACCATTCCTCAAAAGGAAAAAGCCACTTCATCGCGGCTTGCCGGTGGAGCCACGCATCAAAGAGTGTGTTCTCGGGTCGTGCAATCTTACTTTCGATTTTAAAGTTGAGAAACCCTCGTCGGTCCCTGGCCGATGTGAGCCACTGTCGAGATACATTATGACGACCTGAATAGTCGTCTCATGAGTTACCTCTCCATTTTCCCCATTTCTACTTCTTTATGCTTTGTTTATCCGTGTTATGTGGTATCGGGTCGGTCGGATCGAGTTCAGAAAGGATTTGGTAAGGTTTGAGACACTTAGTCTCTTTAGAGTGAGTTTAAGTTGGAAAAGTCAACTGGATGTTGACCTGCGTGTTAGAGGGCTCGGATATGAGTTCTGATGGTTCGGTTAGCTTCGGGAGGTGATTTGGGACTTAGAAGTGTGATCGTAATGTGTTTTGGAGGTTCGGAGTAGATTTAGGCTTGAATTGGCGAAATCAGATTTTTTGGCGATTTCCGGTTGATAGGTGAGATTTTGATATATGGGTCAAAATTGAATTCCGAGAGTTGCAGTAGTTCCATTGTGTCATTTGGAATGTGTGTGCAAAATTCCATGTCATTCGGACGTGGTTTGGTCGGGTTTTTGATCAAAAGCGGAATTTAGAAGTTTTTGGAAACTTAGGCTTGAATCCGATGTGTTTTGGCCGATTGATGTTGTTTGAGGTGTTTCGAAGATTGGTACAAGTTGGAATAAGGTTTTGGGATATATTGGTTATCACACCTCCTTTTTCACTACACCCCGAGAGGGGTGTATAAAGGGAGTTTTTCCAATTAAAGGACAATCGAAACGAGATTTATTGTCAAAAGATTCAGAGTCGCCACTTGGGAGATTTATGGTGTCCCAAGTCACCGGTTGAATCCCGAACCGAGGAAAATATGACTCTGTTTAACAGTTCGCGAACCAAAAATTTGGGTAAGGAATTTTGTTAACCCGGGAGAAGGTATTAGGCATTCTCGAGTTCCGTGGTTCTAGTACGGTCGCTCAACTGTTATATTCGGCTTGACTATCCAATTTTAGACAATTATGAACCTATGTGCAATATTTAACTTTCAACCGCTTTTATTCAATTTTTAAAGAAAGATTGAACGTCGCTTAAAATATGTCTTTGGATCGCGCCACATGAAATGCTCCCGCAATCCGGAACACATTTTATTCAACGTTTTAGGATTTGGATTTGGGTCACATAAATGCGCACCCGAGTTTAAGAAGGTAAAATTATTAAATAATGTGCCTAAAAGCAACTAACGCGTTGTTAACTTTGCGAGGGCCATGAAAATTTGCTAAATGACACATCTTGATTTTCTAAAGGATTAAAATTAAGTAAGCGAAGGCCATAGATTATTCATATTATCCAATATGTGTTCACTTCGATTCTAACTTCAAAAGATGTTCGAACTGCTTTTTGAGGTCATAAATTATAGCTCTTGTTGATACGGCGCACTCCAATCTAATTAATGGGCTTGATCAGTTAGAACTAAATGTGATTAAAGATTCTATGGATGCTGATTAGAGTAATGCATTGCATAAGAAAAAAAACTTGAGTCACCACAAAGGCTTGGAGGCCCAGCAAAGAAAAGATCCGTCTCAAGAGAGACCCTCAGGACTGGGCCTCAAATTGGCTCAAACATGGAGCCTTGCGGACATCACATCGACTCCTCACCACAACACTTTGAGACAGCAAAAGAATTCTAAATAAGCCATACATGAGACTAAAGCCCATGCGACCAAACTGAGGAGTTCGTTCTTAACTCACCATTAGCCAACCAAAAGACACTAAACAACGATTTGCACAGTTGTGAACTCAATTAAAAAAATTTAGTAGAGGCAATCGATGGATGCTGATTAGAGTAATGCATTGCATAATAAAAAAAACTTGAGTCACCACAAAGGCTTGGAGGCCCAGCAAAGAAAAGATCCGTCTCAAGAGAGACCCTCAGGACTGGGCCTCAAATTGGCTCAAACATGGAGCCTTGCGGACATCACATCGACTCCTCACCACAACACTTTGAGACAACAAAAGAATTCTAAATAAGCCATACATGAGACTAAAGCCCATGCGACCAAACTGAGGAGTTCGTTCTTAACTCACCATTAGCCAACCAAAAGACACTAAACAACGATTTGCACAGTTGTGAACTCAATTAAAAAAATTCAGTAGAGGCAATCGAATTTAGCAGCTTCAAACTCACCACAATTCGAATGACCACCATATTCTGCCCAGAAATTATCCTATATACTAACTTCGATTTATTCAACACTTATTTAAGCAATTACCACCTAGAATTATAGAATTTCAATACTGACCAAGTGAATATGATGTCCCAATTTCATGCAGGGAAAGGAGATATATGAACCAAGTTTGTTTGAACAGTAGAGGTTCTAAGCTTATATAACATTCAACCAAAATGGGGCCTCAGGTCCATTTCCTTACATTAGTTCATTTACACAAGTAGGATCCAAACACTGTTATAATGTTAACACTTGAATATTTCAGCCAAATCACTTTGGGCTACTAGCCTTAACCAACAGTCCGACAGAGCAGAACTTTAAACTTATATACAATAAACAGTTCGAGCACACATAGTTATAAAAATTAGCACAAATACACTAGTAATCAGTACTTAAACTTCAATTTGAATCCAGATTTTCATACATCTTATTCAAAACTCCATTCCACTACAGTTGAGGATATACCTGAAATTAAATGAAATAAGAAAAAGGGAGAATCAACAGTAATGACAGCAGGGAATCAGCAGCAGGTTCCAGTAACAAAAGCAAACCAACAAAACATTTTCAAAACCAAGAAATGAAGTACTGCAGCCCAGAAATCAGTCTCAAACACACAATTAAACCAGCTGACATCA